AAATTGGAACTGTTAGGTTACATGCATTTACCATGCAATAACAGCTAGGACAGGAACATGATGCATGAACCAAGTTCACAAGCAACCGTTTTTTCTCCGCTAATGTGGTGCAATAAAAATGGCAAGTACGATTTTCAACACAGCTAACCTTACACTGTTTTTGACCCAAAAAAAAAATATCTTATATGAATTGATAAAGTATGTATGAATTTGAAAGAAAATAAACGGCAGGGTGAGACGTGAATTAAGTCACTCTTTTAAGACGATTCGTGTCTTTATATAAAAGAAACAAAGTGCAGAAGATAATAACGTGTTGTTCTCAGGATACAACAGTCTAACTTAATTGACTGTTGTTTCACTCAAGTCTACACAATCAAATAATGCGAAAGTTTTACACGACACATTTTTGTATTACCCAATAAACTAATGCGGTGAAATAATATTAAAAATATGAAAGTGCATCTATCTATTCTGAAATATCTAAATATATATTCTGTAAAAATATGACTGTTTATATGATGTGAGAGATTCTTAGTATCGTTTAACTCAATTATAAAGTAGCATCGTATAATATATAAAACTCAAATCTTTATAGAAAACTAATCGATGTGAAATTGAACTTTCTCTATAAAATACTTTTTTTTATTAAAATACTCTACTTTATATTGAATCTTCATTATGTGATGCATTTTAACCCTCGCTAAATCGAATTGGCATTGAGGACCGTAGTTTGTGCACCTTGGTTGACAAATTGGTAGCTTGGAGTGGTGATACCTACTGTATCATCAAGAATGTTATATTACGTGGAAGAGTACGACTCGACAATGTATAGTCGTAAACGGCTGGATTGTGATTACCCAATTTAACATGATTTGGTAAAGTATGTGAGAGGTGTATTATACTTTTATTGTACAAGTTTTAAAATTGAAACTAGCCTAAAACGAACAAAATACTCTGATGCCATGCAACATTTTGAATAGTGACTTTAAAGGCGTCAACTAAATTAAGTGGACATATTCAAAAGTTTAGTTGCACTAATCAAAAGAGAGATCTATACACGTATGACTAACGATCTTTTTCTTCTTTTAGAATATTTTAATTTCAACAACAACAACAACAACAACAAAACCATAATAACAACCAATGAAAAATCTAGGCATCACCCCCTTTGAACATTGCTTACCTAACAAAGCAAGACCTATATAACAAAACCAAGCTTATGTTCACATAAATTACAAGTATGACTCAAATTGTTTAGATTTGATGAATTATTTTATAATCGAACACTTATATTTTAACTTTGCAACATATGAACCATAGTTACACATATTAACAATAATTAATATTTTAATTGACAATTGAAATTGCTCAAAACGATTGCACATTATTAGACCATTAAATAAAAGATGTCATAAATTACGTGACAAATATACGTATAGTAAAAGCACATGACAAAAGGCATCACTAGGTAAAAGCAAAGTACCTCTCATCGCGTCAAAAGCGAACCATCCGAATAGGTTCGGCCCCCAGCTGACCAGATACTAAATTGCTCAGTCGCCTAGTGTTTACCTAGACACACGACCTTCATATGGGATAAGACCAAACTAAGGAATAACTAAGCAATCCCAAGTAATTAGAGTTGGTGTTAAAAAACCAATAAGAAAATTATCTAAATCGAAGATGCACATTATAAACATGTGACATACATAATTGATTAATAAACAGAGAAGTCTGAAAAGATTTTTAACACAAATTAAGAAAGATTTAGGTAAAAAAAAAAAATAGGTGTGTGACCTTGTACAGTCGTGAAGGAAAACCTTAAAAGTAGAACGCAAATCTCTATAAATATCGAATGCGCTTAAGTCTAATATATGCACTTCTCTTCTTGTAATTTGCTTGCTTACTCTTAGAATTCTTACTAATTTAAGCATCGGGGTGTCTCAGACTACTCAACTCTCAGTCTCTGATAGTTTATTTGTTTTGCAGAAAAAAGATATACTCTATTCGTTTTCCTCAAAGAAAACCACACACTCAATCTCTATGTCATCATCACTCAAAGGTGTAAGATTTTCTTCTAGAGCAATTGGAGTAGTATGTGGAAAATGTAATGCCCCAAAATTCACAAATATACACAAATTAACTAATAACCATCAAAATAATTAGAGTATAACTAAAATAAACCATTGAATAAATTAAACCAATCCATCATTCAATATCTAACTAAACAAATCCTAAAGAAACATAATTCAATTATTAAGGTTACAACCAAAACCTTTAAATAAACCAAATCCCTCATCTCACTAGTATAAAATTAATAACATTCATCCATCGTAGACAAAATGAACTACATTTTGATAAGCAGAATTCTAAGTCTCGAGATTTGAATCAACATCTTGATTCGCCTCAAACTCTACTTTCACTTGCCCCCAATAATGATATTTTCCTCTGTACCAAAATATGAAAAATGTAAAGAATGGGAAAACAAACAAACTCAATAAAGAAACACTCCTAAACCTAGACAAAGTTTTATAAAAATATAAAATAAGTTGGTCTCCATTTACAAAATAACATATATTTATTTTTATAATAAAACATGTAACACTGTAACGATCTCCAGTTTACGATTTCATAAAAAGTAAATGTGGAACAAAGTAAAATAATTCAGAACAATCAACTTTTATAAAAAATATATCTCAAGTAAACTAGTTGACTAAATAAGAATTCAAGCACTAAATATATCCGGTCCACAAGACTCAACCTTTTTAATAATACCCTGTAGGGTCACAACACTTTATGAAGTATGTATACCGACATATCTACATTGATGAAACATTCTCAGAATTATGGTATACTAACCTTCAATCTCAGTCCCCTATGAACAAATAGTGATTTGAAGCTTCGCAAGGAACCAACGCCTCCTATAAGTGATAAGAAATCTTCGAACCTCTCAAGGTAAAAAAATACGTCTAAACACCTTGCGATTTAATTTCATCACACCCAATAATACGAAAGACGATGTTCATAATTTTCAATAAAATTCACAAGTATTACAAATGATAATTCCACGATTTTAAAAGTAGGAGGAACTCTAAGACAAACATGCAAGAGATTGTCCAGAAATATTCTCAATTCGATAGTATTCAAGATCTAGGATTTTTGAATGTAATTCATGTAATGTTTTTGGAAAACAAATTATGTAATTATAAAGAATGTAAAATCATCATAGATCTATCATAAATATTAGAATATGAATCAAAAAATATGTTTGACTAAAAAATAAGGATTAAGGAAGATATAAGTATGTTTGACTAAAAATTAAAGAACATACATTAAGTTCAACAAGAATTAAGGAAAATTTGACTGCAAAATAGGTGTATCACATTTTGTAGTGTCGTAAAAGAAATCCTAAAAACAGGGTTGCACTTCTCTTCCTACAATTTGTTTGTTTTTTTCTTAAAATCCTTACTAACTGAAACAATGGAGTGTCACTGACAGACCAACCCTCAATCTCTAGGAGTTTACTCGTTTTGTAAAAAAACAAGTACAAATACACTTCATTCATTTTCCTCAAAGAAAATCACAAATTGAGTCTCTAAGTTATCATCAATAAAAAGTACAAATTTTTTTATTGTACACCCATTTATATTTTAACTACAACTAAAATAAAAAAAACACCAAGCAAGAGATAACCTAATTTCTCTAAAAAAAACTCCAAGCAAATACAATATTCCTTCCGTTTCTAAATATCTGTCGTTTAAGGTTTTTGTATAGAGATTAAGGAAGTTATTAAATTGTTGTACTATGAGTAAAAAATTACACAAGACTAAAATACTCTTATTCAATATGTATTGGGAAGGAAAAGAATATGAAAGACACTTAACATCCACCTAATCTAATGCATTGAAAAGTTAAGAGAAAATTTAAAAGAAAAAATATTAATTATGCATTAATTTCATAAAACGACAGATATTATGAAACAAAAAAATTATATAAAACGACATATATTTAAGAACAAAAAAAAATAATAAAATTTTGTTGTGGCTAAAAGTAATAATCGTGTTAAATTATTTTGATTCTAACTCGTTTTTAAACGAGTTCGAGAAACTTCACTCAAATTTCTGAAGTTCAGCTGGGAAGTTCGGTAGGATGGATCTTTCAGACTTTTCAAAACCCCACTATGTAGTCAATATTTGAAAATGACCCCCCAAGTTTTACGCCTCATATTCTTCTACTTTTCTTTAACATTGATAATCTTGGCATCCGAATTTCCTTGCATCAACACGTCAATTGAAAACCACGGATATACTTACGCTCTGTTTGATACAATAAAAAAGTAAAAAGATGAAAAATTGAAAGAATAAATAAAATATTATATTTGATAAAGAAAGAAAGTAGAAAAATAGGAAAGATAAAAAATAGATAGATTAACGTTCATTACTCACTAAAATCAATCCCTCCAAAATTAAAAAAAAAATTAATGAAAAATTAATTATTTGTGTTAAATGTATCTTATTTGTCTGTATATCTTTTTATATATACATATATTATATATACATTAATTTCATATAAAAATACAATGGTAAAATATATATTAAAAAATTTTAAAAATAAATTTAAAAATCAAAAAAAAATCAAAAATCAAAAATCAAAATTTTAAATCAAATATTTTTTTTATCTTAACTAAAAATAAAAATTTTTGATTCAACACGATGACACGACTCAAATTCAATATGAAAATAAATATATCAACTCGTAACTCAACACAATATAATTAGTTAAATAAGTTAAATTTGACTAATATTCGACACAAACTCGTAATGACTCAATACGAATCTAACACGAGACAACTCGATTGTCATCCTTAATCTTAACCAGTACAAAAATAAACAAATAAATAGTCATTTTTATTTTTCATCCATCTAACCAAACACAAGGGAAGAAAAATATATCTTTCATTTTTCATCCTTAAAGGTTAAAAAATGTATTCCTCCTACTTTTTATTTTTTTACCAAACAGAGCATTAATCATCGGCATCAATTATTTTATATAAGATAAAAGGGAAATTAGAAAAGAAAAATTACAACAATGATGATAAAAATTTAACTTCATATGCACCAATCCCACACAAGATTTTTTTCTCATATATGTACGGCAGTTCCAAACAACTTCAACATGGATCAATCTTAGCCGTCCAATTGACCAATCGTTGTGATCGACCCAAATTTTTCTTTTTTTTTTACTTAATCTCCACCCTTAAAGAGACACACCCCTATAAATATTACCCAAAAACAAAGCCAAAAGAAAAAATAAAATTTAAAGGACTTAATCATGGCGAGATCTTGATGAAGATTCACCAGTCATCTCTGCAGCTCCATCATACGGGTAAAGTCCTCGAAGCACACGAATCCATCCCCATTCTTGTCGACCCCTTTTATCATGCGCCGGCAGTCCTCTAACGTGCACCCCCCGTCCCCTATGTCGTTGAACACGTTAAAAAGTTCCTCCGCCGTTATCTTTCCGTCGTGGTCAGTGTCAAAGACATCAAACGCGTCCTTGAGCTCCGAGCGACAAGAAGGTGGCCCAAAAGCCGAGCTGATCGCGCTAAACTCCTCCAAACTAACACACCCATCCCCATCGCGGTCCACTTCACTCAACATCATCGTCAGCTCCTCCTCACTCGGCTGTTCGGCTCCCACCCGACTCAGCAAAGCCTTGAGCTCCACAGTTGTTATCTTTCCGTCACCATCACGGTCAAATAACTTGAAAGCTTCTACCAACTCGACATACAAGTTGGCCGATATTTCCGGCCATTCATCGCGGACCGGTGAAGGAGAGGGTAAAACGCTAGTCGGCGTGGCTAAGCCGTTGGATTTCAAGCCGGCATGGGACTTGTCGTTCGAGGATGATGATTCGGACGACTCAGACGACGCCGTACCGGAGCTGAAAGAGTATGGTTCGTCATGGGACTTGTCGTTCGAGGATGATGATTCGGACGACTCAGACGACGTCGTACCGGAGCTGAAAGAGTATGGTTCGTCAGATCTTGAAACTGACCTGCTTTTCCTGGATTTGAAGAACTTTTTTGGGATGTCCTTGATGAGTTTCATCGTGGGTATTGAGTACCCAGAAAGGGAAGAAAAAGAAAAAAGAGAGAGAATATGGTGAAGGGTTGAGAAGAGAAGGAAGGGAGTGTGGTTGAGGGGAAGGAGAGAAGAAGGAGAGGAGGTTAAATGGTGCGAGAGAAGTGATGGCCATAGTGAGCTTCCAGGAAGCTTCGTTGGAGTCGATTTTGAAGGAGTATTTATTGGAGTTTGTTTTGATTTGTGTGTGTGGGGATGTGTTTCTTTCTTTATTCTATACAGTGCAACTTTTTTGGGTGCGTATTGACACATACTGTTCAAGATATGGTATCGACGTCGTTATGTTTAGGGGTAACGATTTTTGATATAACACAAAAATAAAATTTAAAATTTATATAAAATTAAATTATTTTTTGATATAAATTTATTAACATAAATAATAAATAGATTGAATTAATGTCGAATATCAACAATATGAAATTGACCCGATTATCATGTTTAAAAAGTATTATAAGAATAAAATATTATTTTTTATTACATTTTATGAAATAGTGATCTAGTTCGTGTAAAAAAAATATTTTTATTTTTTTATTATTGTATTTATTAAGTTAATTTTTAATTTTAAAAAATATGAACGTAAATTGGATTAAGTGATAATAGCCTATTTTAATGTTGAGATGAGGGGTCCATGACCTTTTAAAAATTACAAGTTTGAAAAATTCATCACTTTGTAATATTATTTACTCTATCCCCTCAAATATGATTATAAATAACATGGTTTTGCATAATATGAATTCGGCATGCACGATACAAACACAACAATATATGATTATAAATAAGTTAAGTATGAGTTACATAAACACTGACAAGATACAACATAACAACAATATGAATGCTATATGGCATGACCAGTTGTATGCCCTAATTTATATTTTCAAAATGTTGGATCATCACGATGATAGTTCAATGTTAACGTGAGTGACAGTAAATGGAATACAAATGAATTTTTTATTTTTATTTTTTTGTTTCAAGAGTTCAGATTTACGCCGACTATTTTTTTAAACTCTGAACTAACTATCGTAACTCAAAATAATTGAAGAACATATTCCCTAAAGAACAACGATAACGATGACGATGACGATGACAAACTCTTTAATTACCAAATATGTTAGAGCAAAAAAAACTTAAGATATGAAAAAATATATAAAAGCAATACTATGTAACTCAAATCTAAAATTTAAATTTGTATTATAAATAAAATAGGATTATTGAATCAGTGAGCCCCATTTTAAAAAGTTGATGAGATCCACTCATCCAATGATTTCCCTTCATTTAATATAAAAATTTGAATTACAAATTTAAATTACTTTCGCTAAGCCCAAAATTCACTCCTTCTAGATAAAGGGTCAAGTCTTTTCTTTGAACCCTTTCCGGACTATATATACTTAGAATATTGTTCCTTTAGAAATAAACTTCTAGAGGAGGAAAAAATCTTCATGTGTTACATTTATTTCAATGCCTTGTTAGCATGGGAATCAATTTTTAGGAGAAATTATAGTAACACTTTTGTTGTTTCAAGGTAGAAAATCTTCATCAGAGAAATAAAAAAAATAAACTCTCTCTGTGTTCAATTTTTTCAAAGATCTATTGTTTATTCGGAAAAGCATAATTCAAGTGACCTATAATCTCCCCCTTTGATTAATAATTTTTCTTAATTCATTATCATTGGTATCATAGCACTGTCACATAGAATAACAATTAGATCGTATCGTATCAAATTCATGTTAGATCGATGTATTAAAATTAGTGTTGATTGATTTTACGGGTCATTTTCGTGTTTGTATAATACATAGGTCAAGTGTGTTAAAAATTTAGAAATCTTACCTAAATCATTAACATCATTTGTCACTATCCCTGCCAAAAAATATTGTCACCCTACTATGGTGGAACAAATAGCTGTAACATATAAAAGCTTTATGATGTCTCACATGAATTTCTCCGAAATTTTGCAGTTTGATCTTTCACCTACGCATCTAATGGTGATTGCGGCTGGTAATTGCAGAGAAGCCAACTTTTTTATTATTATTATTATTTTTGGTGGGTAAAACAGAGAAACCAACCTTTTCTTTTATTTTTTTTCATTACTTTATATGGTAGGTAAAACAAACAAGACAACATTTTTTTTTTTTAAGTTTGAGGATTAACTACAAGAGGATTCCTTGTAAATTTCCTGGTAAATTTCTCGAAAGGTTGAGGAAGTTAGCCCCCAAATAGTGTGAATGTAATTGGCTTCCCATCAAGCATACAACTAAAGTTGTAAACACAAAATTTTCTTGGTTTACAACTCAACGCACGAGACTCTCGTCGCTGCAGATTGTAAGAAATATCTAATAATAAAGACTGTCGAGTTTGATGTCGTTGTTGTACATATAAATTTTTTGTAAAACATTGTTAATGACATAACTTTATACGACTAAACAAACATGAAAAATGCTCTTACTAAGACACAAACTAAGTGTATGGGTGATTCATGAATGGGATTAGTGGTGTTCTATTATTTGATTACACAACTTGTGACTCTTTGACATGCACTAGAGTTTATTGTGATCATTTTTTGACTAGGAAATTTAAAATTTCTTTAATTCCAATAGATTTTTCCAATCAGATGACATTGAACCGAACCCTAGGCCTAATTTTGAGAGAGAATCCCCTAACATGACCAGATCTATTGACATGAATCATTCTAAAATGAGATTTTTTTTCACTTAGTTTTGCTATTTTATGATTTAATAAATTTTTAGTATATGGTACTACTATTTTTTTCCTAAACGAAGATGAAAATATTATGACTAGTGCGTTCAATTTATTATTATTTTTTTAAACTTGAAATGTAGAAAATTGCATTATAAAACAAAATCATAATTACAATCATCGGACAAAATACACATCAGATCTGCAGGTTGATCCGAGATCCAACTATCTGATAATAGAAGAGACATCCTTGCTTTAGACACCCAATGGGCTGCCCCTGTTACCTGAGCGAGGGTTGTAGGCCAACATAAGACCGAAGTTACATGAGAGTAATCTGTATCCTCCACCAGTATTGCAATCTCCAAGGAGGTCTGTCTTTCCCTGTACAGTGAGATAAGGACCTGAGGTTATTTGGTAAGGGAGTATGTTGGAGGCACTAATGCTATTGAGACAAAATTTAAAGATATAAAGCGTTGTCACCAATGAAATGATAGTGAAATGTATTTAATGATGGGCCCTATTGTAATATTAATGAATTCATTATCATATCATTTGTAACAACTCATTATATCCATAAATTATATCTCAAAAGCATTACTCATGTTAGGGAGGGGGGGGGCTTGTCAACGTGGATTTGGAAAAAATAGTTTAAACATTCTCAAACATTATGTTTAGATTGAAAATTTAATCTTGGGTTTTCAAATATGGCCCGCAATTGGCATAAATATTAAATTTATGATCATCGATTTTGTCAAACTTAGGAGATGGGTAGGTTTGAGAAAATGAATTAAGGAGTTAATGATGCAAAAAAAAATTATATCTCTTAACATGAGTATAAATTAAATTAATTAAACATAAAATAATTATTTATAAGACAAATAATTATTAATAATTATAATATATTCGTAGATCTCATATATGTATATATTATATACTAAATATAAGTATGAATCTGATTCGATGTTAAATTCCATTTTTATAAATCTAAACGACCAAGGTTCCGTTGAAAGCTAATGGAATCTTAGTTTGAGAAATTGGTCAAAACTGACAAATACACCAGTGATTCAAAAGTGAATAGTTCTAACGTGAAAAAAATCTCAACTTTCTTTAATGTGGTGGACAGCAATCGGGTCGGGTGGAGAGAGAGAGATAATGCGTGCTTTAAACTTTATCAGAAAGCGAAAGATGTTTTTAGCTGGCCGCAGTGGAAACTGATGATAAGATCAGCACGCGGAAACGGGCAGCACACGGTTTAACTGAATATCACATTATCAAGTAGACGGACACAACTGGATATGACCTACAGTTGTAATCACTACTGTATGTAAACTGCTGCCTAACTGACACACCCCATGCCCAGCTAAGAGGCCATTCTTGGCTTAGAATACCTCTTTCTTTTTGCAACCTTTATAAAAAGGGAATAGCAAAAAAAAAAAAAAAAAAAATTGATACTATATCATCAATTATAATTTTTTTATGATAAAATTAAATATTTGAAAGAAAAAGTTATAACTATTGAAAGGAAGATCATGATCGATTAAAGACACTCTTGATTGATCACGAAATTTCCTTCAACAATTATAACTTTTTTCTTATGAGTTGTAAGTCGGTATTTAAAATTTGTAACTTATCTTTTGAAAGTTATAAGTTTAGTATCGATCTCAATATTCTATGATCAATCATGACCTTTATAAATTATAACTTATAACTTAACATTAAAAAATACAGTAAAATATTACAGCTTAAAAGCAATAGTATATCACTGTAATATACAAAAAAAAAAGAAGAAAAATGGTACTGTATCAAAATTTATTATTTTTAAAAATTAAATTATATCTTTTAAAATTGAAGTTACACTTGATTAAAGTTATTAATGATCCATCATAAAATGTTGTGTAATTTCATAATTAAAAGTTATAACTAGGCATTTAAATTTTATATTTTTTATTATGCTACCCAATAAGTGTTTTCATGCATGCATGAAAAGCAATGTTACACAAACTTAAAAAATTTATTTAAAATTTTGATTTGGTGATATGATTTTTTTATTTATCATTGATTTAACCGAAGATTTCAGTATTTATTGAAATTCACTAGCTGTTCAATGATAATAATTTATTTTGACAAGGTTTTAAGTTTATTTAAAAATTTTCATGCAAGAAAGGTGTACTATTCTTCAAAAAGTAAACTCTTTCTATCTTTTATTTTTGTTTTACTTTTTGATTGATATGTGGGTTGGAAAAAACATGTAGGTTGGGGCTGAGATAGACTCCTCAGTCAATCTTTCCCACTAATAAAAGAAAGTTCTTAGATTAATACTTTGTGAGATGTGTATTGTTTGGGTGGAATTAATAAACTTTGCAACGGTGATATAACACGATCACCGGTGCATGTTCAAGGACGGAGCCAAGAATTTTATATATTTAAGGTGAGCACTTTAATTATGCACTTTAATTTTTTTTTCCTAACCAATTACACTATTTAATATATTTATATTTATTATATCATATTTGATATGTGAAGTCTATT